TGAAAAATATTTTTCTACGCCACTGCAATGTAAGCGGATTCATTATAGCTCTTGACTAAGGAACCGACAAGCTCAGGAAGAACCCTGGTTAGTCTGTCGGCCAGGTTGGCTGGACTTCCTGACAGAGAGTGGTTAAGTCCTCCGTCCCTTTGTGCCACCGTCAGTAATGTTGCTCTTTCTTTCTTAAGTTTGTGCTTGTCTACTTTGCATAGATCCCCTCTGCGATTTTCTAAAAGTTCGAAATACGGGTGTAAAAACGTTTTATTGTCCAAGATAAGACAACTCCCAAACCAAAGCCTCGGTGGTAGTTTTGCTTGATCGGCCAAGTTATACGGGTCTCAAAGCCACTACTGCTACTCTTGAACCAGGGCCCCCCAGAACCTACACTAGTCAGTGAAATAATATAAAGATGATATACTGATAAAGAAATTCTATATCATAAAAAAACGCATAGTCAATAATTCATAATACTACTCACTATGTATATTTATTTCTTTAGGTAGTTACCTCTTTGCTGACACCGGCCTGTCTGAGAAAGCAGTTGGTGCGATCCTCCTCTGTGTCTCTTTGTTGATGTTATGTGTGTGCTTGGTGATCCTAGTGAAGACATTGAATTCAATTTTACAAGGCAAGCTTGCTTCTGTTATCAAAAACACCTTGAACGCGGACTTCCCAGGACGACTGTCGTTCTTGACGGGCTACTTCGCCATCCTGGTTGGTGCCGCTATGACTTTTATTGTACAGAGCAGCTCTGTCTTTACGTCCGCTATGACGCCATTGGTTGGAATGGGAGTAATCACTCTGGAGAGGATGTATCCACTGACTCTAGGCTCGAACATCGGAACCACAGCAACCGGTTTGCTGGCAGCATTAGCTAGCACAGGCGGTAATTTCAGCAATTCACTACAGATTGCTCTATGCCATCTACTGTTTAATATATCCGCCATACTTATTTGGTACCCTGTGCCGTTTATGCGCAGAATGCCGGTCTATTTGGCTAAATTGCTGGGCAACACGACGGCCGATTACCGATGGTTTGCGATCTTCTATCTTATCATTATGTTTTTTGTTTTACCTGGGTTTGTATTCTTGTTATCCCTGGCGGGAACGGGGGCGTTCATCGGAGTTGGATTACCACTGCTTCTTATTTTCGTTCTCATAGTTATCATCAACATCATGCAGGAAAAATGCCCTCAGTGTTTACCGGCTAAGCTACAGGATTGGGAATTCTTGCCGTTGTTTTTGCGATCCTTAGATCCAATTGATGCGATTCTTTCGCGCCTTTTTGCGATGTGTCACGTTTGCCGGTGTTTTACCGGAGATTACGTCGCTAAAATTGCCAAACCCCCGATCTCCTACAGACACTCGACGTGCCGCGTTGATTACAAAAGCGCGACCAATAAAGCATACCTGACTCTGCCAAGTAAAAAAGGAGCCAGACCACCGCACAAGAGAACACGCACAATGTGATTGAATTTTATGTCAAAATTTTGTATATAAATATTTTTTTAATGAAACCGGCCGTTCTCATGATGATTGTATAGAAATAGAATAGCGGTACAGTACAGAATAGTAGTATTTACCTAAGTATTCTAAAGAAACTGATGCTCTGGCAGGTCTTGTAGTGACATAAGGAATTAGACAGTTTTAACCGCTTTACATACAAGCTAGGCATGCATTTAAGCTGCGGATGCACATGGAGTAGCAAAAAATCTTTACTAGTTATAAGGCAAGCCCCATGATAAATGCACATTTATGTTTGGAAGCATGGACTGGGGTCCGTTGAAAATTATTTACCCCATTATCATCGTCATATACGTCATCATTAACATCATCATCATCATCATCAGCTTTATACTTCATTAAGATTGTCTTTTAATACTGCATGTGTCTAACAATAAAGAACTTATTTACCACATAAGCTTTGAGGGTACCATCAATATCATGATGTGAAGTAACATTAATATTATATAAACAAATGCATAAACACTAATAATAACAATGCTATTATATATATATATATATATATATATATATATATAAATATATATTAAATTTCTTTTAATGAGGCCTAAATAAATTTCATACAGTAATAATATCACGTAAATATAAAGTCTTGGTTTTCATATACCTTGATGCATGTAGTACCACCAATCCGGGTTGCAATATTATATACCATATATAGCCTTACAAAATTTTATAGCTTATATACTAAATTGTATAGCTTATATAATATAGTTTATATATATTATTATTATATAGCTTATATAGGCCTATACTATGTTATATAATACAGTACTACTCATTGTGCTGAGCATAGTGCGGGATAATGATATTTCAAATTCGATAGAGGGCCAAATCGGCGCTGTATTTAATGACCGAATTTTGTTGTTAAAGTTGTGATATAAATTATTATTATCTCAATTATTGCAGAATACGTAATAAATATTATTATTATTATTTTTTAAACCATATTTATAGAGAGTGACCCTTCCAGCGTATCCAACAAGGTGGGCTGATATTCAGGGGCCCTCTTTAAATAACTGAAATAATGTGATGCTATTATCAGTGAAGTCGCTTTATGAGGCTTAGGGAGTGGAGTTGTTTCTGTCGTGAGAAAAGTCCTGTCGTGACAGGAATTGAACCCAGGACCTTGGGATCAGAGGCAAGCATCTTAACCACTGAGCTATTCAACTCCACTTATTATTATTATTATTATTATTATTATTATTATTATTATTATTATTATTATTATTTTTATTATTATTATTATTATTATTGATTTTATTATTGTTTTGGTTGTGTAATTTTTACTGTTTATGTTATTGTTATTATTGTTTATAATAATAAAGTTATTAATATTATCATTATTAGTATTATTGTTTATATTACTTATTATTATTAGAAAATTAAATTTAGGCCTATTATCAAAATGCATAATATAAAGGCCAGTAATGTATTTCAGAGAAGTGCAGGCCAAAGGCATTCTAACATGATTTTTAATTACCGCTTCATAAAAATTTAGAAGAGCACTGTTTTATATTACAGTTTATTGTAAAAATTGAGAAATTCATGTTGAATAGTAATTTTGTATTTCTTATTCACTCTTATTGTTTGATAGATAACCTGATAATAATCAATAAAATTGTATTCAGAAGTACTACCTTGGATGGTGTTGTTTTTGTTATTGGTTTTATATTTCTCTTCATTCCTTTCATGATATTTTATTTAAAACCAGTTAAATTGTAAAGGTATATACAATTGACACTTGAGTTTTTTAGTTAAAACTTGCACTGTAAGTCTGTAGCCCATCATGTCATACCAAATTTAAAAAGAAATGTACAGTAGAACTCCTAATAAGAGGACACCTTCTGGACCAAAAAGGTGTCCCTTGAATAGGGGTGTCGGACACTAACCAAAATGTGAAATTGTCCTTTTAATATGGGTTTTTCATTACATTTTCATACAATGATGACATTCTTTATATAATTCCATTCTGATAGTCCTTAGAATGAGTTACATTTGAATTTTAATTAATTCATAACAATAATTTTCAATGCAAAAACCATTCATTTCTGATATTAAATCAACAGAAATATTTTCAATACAACAAAAGATGTATATGTTCCCGATATTCTTTTCATGATTTTAGTGCCATGTTAATGACCAAATATTCTTTTTAAATATTCAGCTTTTTATTGGTTGCCACAAGATAGAATAGCATGAATAGAGTAACAACGTAGAAATCAGGGTGTAAGCTGCAGATATCGAGAATCCTACATTTGAATCATATATGAAAAATACACAAAACAAGTCTAGTTCACATTTGCATTCTGCATTGTAAGATAATGGGCAGTTCTCAAGCAGAATCTTCAACAACACGAAGGTGGCAACTTAAGAGAAGAAAGAAAATAATGATGAAGGAGTTATACGATTTCCCGATTTTTGTCCATTTAAACACAATATATACAACACAATATTCGTTTGTCATTTATCCGTAAAGTGGCTCAATTTAATTTAAAAAAAAAAAATGGGTCCGAATCATTTAGTTAATGCGGTAGGCTATATTTAATACCTCCTTGCTGGAACTACTTTATTTTTGATCTTAGAGTAGACTTTCGTATACAATTTTAATGTTTCAATTTTATATAAATATTGTTAGTAAGTTAACAAGTGCATTCAAATACAGGACACCCTCAAATTAGAGGCAGCTTCATACAAAGCCATCTCCAATTAGAGACTCCTTTTCTGTGGCCCCGGTTGCCTATCATTAAGAAAATAAAATTTGCGGAGAGTGGACCAAAATGACGTGGGGCCGCAGATCTCTGCTGGGGTCGAGAGGGCGGAGCCCCTTCGCGCTCAGACATTTTTGATTATTTGAGGTCTTAATTGATTCTGAAGATTCAACATCATCATCAACAGTATTCAACGGTTTTACAGTGACAGATTCAGGAAATGAGAGTGGTGGGGCGGGGGGGGGGGGGGCAGGGATTTTCACAGATGGAGGGTTTATACCACCTCAGCCCCACCATGGTTTTATATTATGGTACCACTAGATGGCCGGAAACGGCACTCTAAGACTCTAAGATTCGTAAATAAATCGAGGTCGAGTAAAATATATTCCTACATTGGGCATACACATAGCCTAGGTGTTTAAAGAACAATGTAAATAAAACATTGTTAGATTTAAACGTAAAAGAAATAATGTAGGTCTATACCGCACAATGGAAACAAGGCATAATATTATTGGGCATTGAAAAAACTAAATTTACCATATGAATAAATGGAATTAATGAAAAATATACGAACGAATAATTACAAGGGCTTTACGTCGTGGATGAGATGGACGTCAAAAACATATCGAGAAAATAAGTCTAGAATGCATAAAATAAGTCTATACTGATCTTATTAATAAATAATATGTTAACCAATCTCCAGCAGGAAACATTTGGCACCAAACTAAAGGAAGTTGGTAGTCAGACTTCAAATGTTAATTAAAATGCATCTTGGGAAAAGAGGTAGGGAAGGCAATTAATGCATTTTTTGTTCTGAGGCGAATAACGCGAGCAGGGGCGGATCCAGAATTTTTCAAACAGGGGGGCCATAACAGTTTTAGAACAGGTAATTGAGTAGCACATAACCTTGATTTGGATTGAAAATTTAAAAATTTAGTGGCAAAACGGGAGGGGGGGGGGGGTGGGGGGGGCACGTGCCTCCCCCTACTTGACCCACCCCTGGCGAGCGCTGCAGGTAGGTGTATAATCTAGGTATGTAATTTTCGTGAAGCGCTTGCACATTCGCAACTCGTAATCAGTTGCGGATTCGGAATACAAAATAGAAGAGGTTAGGGAAGGACTTTCACAGATGGGAGTCGATAACACTTCAGCCCTACTATGGTTGGGGCTGAGGTAAGAAAATTTATGATTGTAACACCTCTAGCTGGCCGGAAATGGCTCTCTCAGAATAAAGATAATTTTAGTGAACTCTCTATACGAAGAAGAGTTTGTAAGCGGTGAGTCATTGACACGCAAGCGGCAGGGGAAAAAACACTACAATTCTTCAAAAATCTTATAAATACAATTAAAAGTCTGCTTGTACGACAAATTAGAGGCATTCCTAGTTGGAAACTGCTCTGATTGGTCAAGAAGTTTTGGTGGATCGATTTCTGGAACATGCGAGAGTGTCTCTTGAATTTTCTACCCCTGAAAATTTTGACCTTCAAAGGCAATTTGGGTGGGTGCGTACGCACCCCTCGCACCACCCCTCCTGCATACGGGCCTTTGACTTGTGTGGCTACCAACAAGTGGTTTAATAAAAATCAGTAAGTAAGTAAGTAAGTAACTTTATTGCTTCTCTTTTATAACAGAGGCACAGCCGTAAAGATGTGCAACAATAACAAAATCAGTAAAAACTTAATTACTGTGATAAAATATAGTAAGAAAATACTGCGGTAGAACGAAATATAAATTAAAAAAAGGGTTTGCAAAAATAGTAATAGAGATAAAAATAAATGCTAATACTAATAATATAAGTAAGTTGGTTAATAGATCACTTATACACACATACATATACACATACACACAAACATATATATATACACACATATATATATATACATATACATATATATATACAGTATACATATACATATATATATATATATATATATATATATATATATATGTATACACACACACATACACACATTCTTACATATACATACATACATACATACACACACAATACATACATGCATAGACGCACACACATACACACACCCCTCCCACACACATATTCACACATACATACATACATATACACATACATACACAAACACATACATATGTACATATAACAAAGTAAATATTGTAAATTTAATTCAATAACATTAAAACCAGACATATTTAGTCTTGCAATAGAAAAGTATTATATATATCATTTCGTTCTTTCCATGCCATCGTTAAAAGTAATTTACAATGATTATCGAAAACTTTACTCGCAATAGTATAATTAATAGGGTTTATACAANNNNAATTAATAGGGTTTATACAATTTGTTGTTAAAATTTGATATTCGTAATGGATTTCTAAATCATCAAACAAAAGATGGTATTTAAGTTCAGGGGAGCTTGATGTGAATAATTCCCAAAATATATGTAAATTATTTTTGTATAACTCGTCTTTTAATATTTGACCAGTAACAGCACAGAATTAATTCTAAAACACTTGGAATAAAACATTCAAACATAATACAGAATACAATTGAAACATAAGCGATTTTAATGCAGTTCATGAAAAACCGTAAATATATAATAATATATCTGTCTTGCTCTTCATGCATAAAGCCTCCAAGCGCTTCACATTACTACCCCGGTCATTGGATCAAACACGTATGGAACACATATTCAGCTCCTCGGGGATAATTCCATAATATTGCAGCTTAATCAGCGCAGATGTGCTGGAGTGCGTTTTACTTGCCAACACAGCGAGTAATAGGATGGGGGGAACAGGGGAATTCTAGGGCCCCCTTCGTCGGGGTCAGGGGCCAACCTCGGTATCAAAATTGGCGTTTTTACGCTGTAGACTAATCTGAAGGCATTTTATCGTGTTAATCTGCATACAAAGTCCGACAAAATGCAACTTCAGTAAACACAGCGATCGAAAAACTATCATTGACAGGAGTGGGGGCCAGAAAGTTTCAAATGGGGGAGGAAGGAATCACAACAGAATCAGAAAAGATAAGTGAGTAGCACGTAGGCCTAACATTAATATGCATTGAAATGTTTAGAAATTGTGGTAGCAAAACGGGGTGGGGGACACGTGTTTCTGTGCCCCCGCCCCTCCCCACTGGTCAGCCCCTGATTGAGGACATGAAAAGACAAGAAATAACGTGTAATATTTTCATTCTGGGATACCAGACTTTATTCTGAAGGCCAGCGGCACAAATTGGATACAACCATTACGAATAAAAAGTCAAAATTACTTCTGTTTCATGACTTACCATACGGTATGTACAACTATATTTTAAATTAAGAATACATTCATAAATATGTATCGTAGTGGATCAAAGCAAAGTTCGATACATTGGATTAAAAGAGACACTTAATATAAATGAGCTGATTCAAAAACGAAACATTTGAAACAAATTAATCAACAATTTTTCATTGACACCAACAGAAAACCAGTAGGCATAATTTAACATGCTTTCCGACTTTGTCACAAGTTTCCTGTTGATCACATTGCTATTTTGTTGATCCACTGTTCTTTTTTTCTACCATTTGTCAGTGATCATGCTTTATTTTGTGTTCTACACTGAAGTGGTTAAAAATCACCCCATCTCACGTTCTTGCCAGCAGCAACCATTCCCCATCCCCATACAAACTTCGAATCCATATCAGCCCTCCCCCTCCGACTCCAATGTAAAATACCCTACGCCACTGACCAAAGCACCTCTTGTACTTGTTTACCCACTGAACGATGAATAGGACGATCTGTCTAGTATGTGGGTCGTTCGGCAAACTGGGTTTCATAACTTCGTTCGGATGAATGGCATTCGGCAAACTTGTTCGGAAAGTGGCTGGCAAACTGGGATTCGCGGCCAGTTTTCGGCAAACTGGTCGGATATCAAGAGTGACTCGAGTTTTATTATTAAGGCGAAGTGATTTTAGGTTTAGAAAACACCACATGGCCAATGCTACGCCTCCAACGCCATAAGATTCTGTGTATGGCTACCATTATTAAATCAACTTAAGTTAGGGATACTTACGGTACTCATCTTACAAATAGGCCTAATTAAGTACTGTGCAAAATATTATTGAAACATATGAATGGCATTCGGCAAACTTGTTCGAAAAGTGGCTGGAAGCTGGGATTCGCGGCCAGTTTTCGTCAAACTGGTCGGCTATCAAGAATGGCAAGAGTCTTATTATTAGGGCGAAGTGTTTTTTGGTTTAGACCACGCCATGGCCAATGGTACACCTCCACCGCCACAAGATTTTCGCTATGTTTATTCTGTAATCTCGTTTGTATTTTTAGCATTGTCTAATGAATTAATCAAAGTGGACTAGATAAATAATAAGAATAATGGTGTTGCCGCTTTAAAAAAAAATGTTGATGGCTGAATAACAACAAATTTTCATTTTTTACATATCTTTGATTTTGTCGGGGTGGGGGTGGATTTAGCAAGGGAATGTCCCATGCACCTTCCCCCTCTCCCCACACTTGGCCTGGGGAAGGCAACAGCCCCGAAGCCGAGTCTCAAAACATTCGTTCCAGTTAAGGTCTTTAAACTCAAAAGACAATGTTGTTTTATATTAAAAGAAAAACAAATGAAATCACTCAACAGTAGCTAATCTCTTCTACCAGAATCTTTGTTCTGGCTCTTTTTTTTTTCGCGGGTACTGTAAAGCGGATTCGGAAGTGACAACGTCATATGTTTGCATTTTGCTGTTGGTTGATCAACAAAGAAAACGCGCGGAATTACCGTAATTATACGTACAATACGTTGGTGGATCCCCATCCCATTTCATGCCAAAATTGTGGATTGTTTTTTTATTTGAATTTCAACACCTAGTTCTTGTAATTTACAATTGTATTCGAATAATAGGCCTAAAATGATTACTTAACCATTGTTCCTTTCTTTGGTCAGCAATGCTTGCAAAAATATCGTATTTTTATCAACAAACCGGTCCATCAAGGTGGTTTTATTGAAATACTGCCATCAACGTCTGAGTGTTTTTTTTTTATCAGCTACAATAATTTATCAATGAATGAGAACGTAGTATATTATTTTGGTTTCCGAGTGTCAAGTTAGGTCAAGTTAGGACAATCACGGGGAAAATCTGTAGCTAGCCTTAATTAAAATTCCAATATTTAAATATCATTGTCTTAACATTTCTTAGTTTTCATAATATTCTATTAATACTAAGCGTTTTAATGGTATGGTACATACTTTTATTAGTTTGTGGTTTTATGGATTTAAAGATATGAAATAATCATATATTGTATAAATTATCAACCCCGTAAAAATGGAACACGCGCTAGCCAGCAGCGAGCATGTGAACATCATCAATGAGAAACGATTTCACACCCTGCTTTGTGATTGGTCCTTTTGCATGTGTACGTGTGGGAGTTGTAAAGAACCGGCCGGCGAGTTTCTGCTATTTCATTATGCGCCTGTTAGTTAGCCAGCAAAATGGTTCTCGCTGAAGATTCAACGAATATTTCTAACTCGGCAGCTGCTGAAAGTCTACTTCAAATTCCAACTAAAGTAAATGTTCCGAGTGTCAATAAATGCGAAGATCCACCATCATACGATGATTCGGAGAGGCATCAAGATGGTGAAACTCAGCCGATGATGATCATCATCAATCCAGATTTTCATCCGAAAGCCCAAGAGGCCGCAAATTCTTATGATGATGTGGTACCACTTCCAGTAAGTTATTAATTTTATTATTGCCAATAATATTTATTGTTTAGCTACTTAGTACTCTATAGCCCTGGGGTTTAGCTAATCATGTGTTTTATAAAGTTTATTTCATAATTAATTTATAAATTAATTTTGTATTTTCAAGTTTGTTCTTTCTTTGTCCAACAGCACGTGTCTTCAAAATGACATTTCTTGGTAGGTGTGGGAGGAGCGCCCTACTTAATACACTATTAGCTATATTTCACAAGTCCTTTAATACACTTTTCCTTAGGAGGAGGGCTTAGGCCTAGTGTACTCACAAGCTAGTAGTACAGTACTTTCCTTAATATGTAATACAGTACTTATAAAATAGTAGGCCTAGCCTAGGCCTAGACCTCCCTTCATCAGTCAGTAGCTTAGGCTAGCTGACAAATAATTAAGTACTGTGTGAAACTATTTTGATGGAGTTGTATTCAATTTTTATTTTTTTTTTATCCATCCATAGCCTAGGCCTAGATTTGCAATACATAGAAACACTGAACAATATTACATGGGTTTCCAGTAATTATTAAGCTGAAACCTGGAGCTCTATTTGAATTAACGAACATCCCAACCGGCGCAGATGCTAGACATTAGAAAAGAAGAGTTACTGTACAGTATCAGTCAGGTGTAACCAGAGGGATTTTCACAGTGCCTGCTCACCCCTCTTTTTTGTTAAAAATATTGAAGTGTGGAAATAAATTAACCAATTTATGGTGTAGTAGTTGGCCATCAATATGCTCTCTGCCTAGGCCTAGTTTTTCACATTATGTAATTTGAAGTTCAGTGGATGTACACTTTTTTTTAATAAGAACACATTTTATAAGAACACTGAGGCTGAAAAAATTAAGAACAAAATAAGAACAAATTGAGGCTGAGGTAAAAATGTCATGAGAATTTTATTTAAAAAAAACTAGAACAAAAGAATATTTGTACCTTATGTGTAGGTGTGACTGTACTTAACGTACCCATCATTTCGTGCCATTTTTACCAGCACCTTTTTTCGGGGTCCTATGTCTCAGGGGCAGTTTTCTGGGGCCATTTTTCCTACATTCCAGTACAATGTATACTGCTGTACAATGATAATTTTCTACAGTATGTTTGACAATTGTGTAAAATAAGAACATTTTGAGCCTGAAATCTTCCAAAAAATAAGAACACTGAGTCTGGGCAAAAAAAGTGTAATAGGCCTACTGTATTTCTATTCAGCACTCACCTTTTCAAAATTCTGAAGGCACCACTCGGTATACCTATTCTTATCATATGCTTTGTTTTTCTTTATTTAGAGTAACATGATAACAAAGGAGCAGGTTGATCCCCAACATATGCAGTTGATGAACATGAAGAATGCTGCTAAAGACAATGAAGATTTAGAAGATCACTGGAGTCTGGTCGATATCCAAGATACAACAGTACCATGGAATGGTAAGGAATGAGTTGCATGTCTCTTATTAGGCAGAGGCTATTGTTACACCAATCTCTTTGATGATATGTGTGCAGGGACTGAATTAGGACAATAACATTCGTTCATATTTTAAGAATAACCAACAGACTCTAGTTTATTATAGTAAAAAGAAAATATTATGATTGTTTGTTTACTTAAGATTATTCAAGTAGTGACTGATAACTGGTATCAGTAAACCAATTGGGCAACAATGTACTTGGCATATTTACATAGATAACCCACTTTGGGATCTTATTTAATTATAGATGTATTGATAAGATATATTTGGAATGGAATATATATTGCAACAAATTTTACTGTATTACATTAAACTCATTTACAGTACAGTGGTCATGTATTTTTATAATGCCTTCCACAATAAAAACTGCCTCAATGCTTTTGAACCACTAAGAAACTACATTAAATTAAAATAACGCTTCTTTCGGATTTAATTAGTCATAATTAAAAGTTAAACTTAGGTAATGTAGTTTCCCAAGTTGGGAGGTCATCAAAAGGCTTAAGTATTATAGTTAAAAAAAAAAAAAGAAGAGGAGTTGTGCAATATCCATACTAATTTCATAGGATTTTTATGAGATGCATTTAGCAAGAGAAATCCAACAAATACTACAGTAGGCCTTTTCTTTCTTGTGTACACAGATCTAAACGGGACGAAAAAACTGAAACGTGTGATGCTCTGGTTTCTGAAGCCTGTTTTTGTATTGATGTTCCTGTACTTCTTCATCTGTTCCCTTGATCTGATGAGCTCCGCATTCCGTCTGCTGGGGGGAAAGACAGCAGGAGAAGCGCTATCTCAGAATGAGTTGCTAAGCAACCCCGTCTGTGGCCTTATGATTGGGATAATGGTGACCGTGCTGGTTCAGAGCTCTAGTACATCTACCTCCATTATCGTTTCCATGGTTGCAGCAGAATGTAAGTTATTCATCTGAATTTTACAAAATTTTAAATTTTTTGCAACATTAAATTTTGATAGAAAGAAAACTCTATATGCAATTAATCTTTCAAAACTTCATTTTCGCCTTTAGTATTGCAAGTGCAACCGGCTATCTTCATCATTATGGGTGCTAATATTGGAACATCCGTGACCAACACGATTGTCTCCCTCGCTCAGTCTGGTGACAGGAACGAGTTCCGTAGGGCTTTTGGCGGTGCTACTGTACATGATATGTTCAACTGGTTAGCTGTCATCGTACTTCTTCCAATAGAGGCTGTTACTGGATACCTCTACCATTTAACCAATTGGATCGTAGAGCAGTTCAATATTCAGAGTAATGAGGCTGCAAATGTCGAGCTCCTTAAGGTCATCACCAAGCCGTTCACCAAGATGATAATTCAGGTACGACAATGATCTTTAAGGTTATTTATTTTAGAGAAAGGCAGTGAGTGGCTATGAAAAGTGTACCATTGTATGGTATTTGCAATGGTGATTTTCCCTAGCTGTTGCCAACCTTAGTATTCTTTATCATTACTGAAATAGCTTACACTTTTTAGTTTTTTTAAGAACACATTTTATAAGAACACTGAGGCTGAAATTGCTTAAATAATAAGAACAAAATAAGAACAAATTGAGGCTGAGGTAAAATGTCAAATGAGATTTTTATTTTTTAAAAACTAGAAAAACCAGTATGTGTGACTATGTAATACCCTCTATAATGCAGTACAGTAGGTGTACCTACCTGTCATTTGGGGCCATTTTTACCGGGACCTATTTTCAGGGGCCTTTTATTCAGGGACCATTTTTGCCAGGGCCACCTTTACCTAAGTGTATACCGTACCTCAAGAAAAATAGTTTTAAAAAAAGACAGTCCTAGTATTCCTGGCCTAGTTTCATACATGTGACAATCAAAGGCAGATGCTAAATTTTCAGATTAATTTGTAAACCATCAATCAGGTTCTTAAGCTCTGTCCAGTCAATCAAATTGTTTTTAACAAAACGTCCAACATGCCTAAATATGGTCATGACCATATATAGGCACATGATGACTATATGGGCATACAAGAGTTAACCATCAATCAGATTCTTATATTTTGTTGTTCTATTTACAGATCGACAGTAAAGTTCTGAACAAGATTTCCACCGGTGAGCTACAGGCTAAAGAAACTAGCCTACTGAAGAAATGGTGCGAGAAGATGATGATGCCAGTTGAGTTGAATACAACTACTGTGAACACAACAGATCTGAACACTACATCCAGTGGCAATGAAATGCTCTTTGAGGAAGTTGGCACAAAATCATGTAAGTTAATTTAACTGTTATTTGTTTGTTAGCTAATGGTCTGGAAAGTTCACGTCTATACATTTCATAAGAGAGTACATTTTTTAGACCAGTTAAATTCAAATTGATGTTATTGCTAATTATTTCAAATTGTTGTCGATTAAACAATTTACCCAACATCTAAAATTATGTAGGTATTAAATGAAACTTCAAAAAGGAGTTTCTAAAAAATTAAGTGGGTAATGTGTTAATAAGTATCGATCTGTCATAAAATGTGTATAGAAATTTCATAATTTGCATCTGGTCATTGAAATACAGTAGTTAATTTTAATAACTTAAGTTTAACACAAATTGGATTAAATAGGTTTTGACTAATTTTCAGACCTATTGCTAAATAATTTAAATTAAATTTACAAATTATGAGATCTGGCAAGGAGAAATCATGGACAGTATATCTGGTATTCTGACATGTAAAAAAATATTTAATGTCTTGATTTAAAAAAAAATAAATGAAATGTTTTTTATGAAAGTAGAAAATCTCTAAGATTTGTATTGAACATTTTTTTTCTTTTTCACTTTATTCAGGTCCCTACCTCTTTGCTAATTCAAATCTTTCGGAGACTGCAATTGGTGGAATTCTTCTTGTCGTTTCGTTGTTACTTCTTTGTGCATGCCTGATCGGCCTCGTCAGGATCCTGAATTCTATGCTTCGTGGGCGTGTCGCTAAAATCGTCAGGAAGACACTGAATTCGAATTTACCAGGCAAGTTTTCATGCCTCACTGGCTACCTAGCGATAATTGTTGGCGCTGTGATGACATTTATTGTGCAGAGCAGTTCAGTCTTCACCTCCGCTATGACACCGCTTGTTGGGATGGGGGTGATCAAACTTGAGCGCATGTACCCTTTAACCCTAGGCTCAAACATCGGGACGACCGCTACTGGAATGCTGGCTGCATTAGCATGTTCGGGGGGGAAGTTTGAGAGCTCTTTACAGATAGCCTTGTGCCATTTATTATTCAATATTTCAGGTATTCTAATCTGGTATCCTATTCCATTTTTGCGTAAGCTACCTATTAAACTAGCTAAAGGCTTGGGAAACACAACAGCAAAATATCGCTGGTTTGCAGTACTTTACTTAATTGTTATGTTTTTCTTGCTGCCTGGGTTTGTCTTTGCACTGTCCATGGCAGGAGTTGTAGTCTTTCTTTCTGTTGGGATAACGCTGATCACTATACTTTTATTAATTATAGTTATTAATGTTATGCAAAAGAAGTGTTGTAGGTTTTTACCAGAGTGTTTAAAGACATGGGAACATTTCCCACTTTGGACACACTCGTTAGAGCCTGTAGATAAACTGATCACAAAATTAATGATGTGTTGTATCTGCAGGCGTTGTATAAAATCGAACAAACAATCTATAAATTTCCAAAATATTGATTTTGTGGCTGTTGACATGGATATCAGTAACTCTTCAAATACATCATCATCATTTACATCGACTATATCCACTTCTCAGTCTATTTTAACTATAAGTAGTGTATAACATTATTTTATAATGTTGTACTGGTGCCATAGTTTACTAACTGCCATATTTAGAATTGGTACTTGATAATGCTTTTCCGTATGTTTAAGTTGATACATTAAAGTATACAGTACTTATTTAAAGTTATTTTATAAAATTATTTGAATTATTTTTTTTCGACTGCCATAGCTTTCTGCTGCCTTATTTAGAATTAGAATTTAATCAAATGCTTTACAGTACTTTAAAGTTAATAATTCTCGACCCACCCCCGTTAATGATAAATGTCATTCATTTTCCAATGTATATTTACATTGATGACAATTAGCAACTTATGTCTAATGATGCATTCTATCAAAATATAATCATTTTATCCCACGAATATCAGATGATAAAGTGAGGCCATATTACTCAATGGTATAAGTTTTTTTAAAGTTATTTTTACTATTGATAACTGCTGTTTTTAGAATTTATGTATTTGGTAAATGCTTAAGTATGTTTTTCTATATAACAAATTTATCAGTACAATACCTTTTTGTAAGGGTTGGGGGTATTTTTACAACCCAGTGCTGTGTACCAAGGTTACTAAAAAAGCAAGCAATAACCTATTTAAAAAAAAAAAAAAAAGGTAGTTCTAAGGTAGTCTTTGTATGGACAATATGTAAATACTGTATATAAAATAATTTATCTTATTTAAACTTTTGCTGATGATAATATACAGTGTGACTGTACTATGTACAGTATACTACCTTGTATGTGGTTTTGAATACAGAAGTAAATGCTGTATTGTGTTGTACATTTTTATAGATCAGCCTGGATCTTGGCAATACATGTACTGTGTACATCTGACCTGAAAGTTAAAAAAAGAAAAATTTATGAAAATTGAAATAAAAATGTTAAAAAATTTCAGTTGGTTTCATATTTGTCATTCTGTTTGTCATCCTTTTATTAATGCTCTGTCCAAACTACTTTATAAATTTTATGTGATCAAAATATGGTCATATCACATTTATTTGTTGCATAAAATTTGTTAGTACAGACAGAGCTTAACACAATTCAGTGGCGGATTTAGCAATGGGTGGTTTTTGGAGGTGGCGTCTTCTATTTGGGATTTAAAAAAAATTATGTGCTCTTAGTTGGCATCTGAAAATGCCCCCCCCACCCGAGATGTGTGATTGAATTAGAGGGAAATTAATTCTTGAAGAAAACCATGCGTAACCAAGTCTTCAGTTTGTATGTATACATGTACAAATTTTGAATAATATCTTTGCCATACACTTATGAATTAAAATTATTAGTTCTATACAAAGATGTTTACCGAGAATTGAGTTTTGGTGGAGAACGGTTTATCAAACGAAGCAGTGGTGCCGCCAGTGGTGAAATGTGAATACAACCATCGTAGGCCTGTACCCTTCTCGTCAGACGCCCCGGAAGAGGTCATTTAAGCTATAAAAATAACGTGTTTTAATGTGGTCATAAACGCTGGTTGCTATGCCTTTGTTCCAGCGGTTCCTCCAGATTTTCCGGCTTGGCAAGGGGTCCACCGAATAAAAAAGTTTTTATGGCTTTGTATGGTCCTGTTAAACTAGAATATTCGGGATACCATTTTTTTTTTTAAATAAAAAATGAAACTTTATACAGTAGTCAAATCCATCAATTTATTAGGAAATAACACAGTTAAAATCAGTGTCGCACACAAATGTGGTGATAACCAATTTGATATTTTCATCAGGAAGTTTTGTAACAACTTACTGGTTTCATCAAAATAACAGACCATAAACATCAAAGAGCCATGTACACACTTGTCTATGAAGTACTGTAATATAACATTTCCCTGAAATGAGCCTAAACAACATTTAAACTACAAATACAATACAGTAGCTTGATTTTGCAGCAATTTATTTTCAATTTAAATTTCTATCGATGTCGAATATCGTATTTTTAATTAGCACAGTACTGACGGTACCCCCGCATACTATAGCCTACTGCATATTGTACTGTAATTTGTTTTTCCGTAAGAACTAGGGATGACGTCATCATTTTTCTTAAAATGTCAATTCTCGCCTTCGGTTCTATTCTCTGAACACCTTTTAGACCTTTTTTTTTTTTTTTTTTTGTGAATGGGTTAAACAACCAAAATAATTAAACGAAGCGTGGTGATGTGATTAACCAATGCTAAGCAGAAACGTGTGTACCTAATTCCTTCAGGCCTACCGTACTTGTGGTCATGGAAACGAATTTATAGAAATACAGCCAAACATTGTGACGCCAATTTTAATATTTTCTTTAATCGACATTATTCATAAATGCCATAAAACATTAAAACAAAACAACTATAACATCTTCTGTGTTATTCAATTAAGTCATCAAATTAAATCAAGAAAAATCCTTATCAACTGTAATAATTTTAATTATAATAATCAAATAGGCCTACACATCGAAATATAAGGATAATAATTATGATAATGATATCGATAATAATGATAATGATTAATGATAATAATATGATTAATAATAATAGTAACATAATAATAAATATTACATGAAAAGGCTTCTATGTGCTTTACATTATATCATAAATCAAATATTTAAACAAACAATTACAGTATACCTTAAATATGTCCATGCTGTACCTATTTTTTTTAAATTTTTATTTTATCTTTTTCTCTTTTTACGATACTTTTTAGACCGGTCAGAGCCGTAGATAGAGAGTTTGGCCAACTCGGTTTCAATCACGTGACTTACACCGGCCATATTGTCACCAAAATAAAACAACGCGATAGGGTAGGAAGTTAGCAGTTATTATAGATGATTAATGCTATATAATGTGAAATACCGTTATGTTAGGTTTGGGGTTGCTGCAATCGATCCAACAAAGAAACAAAAATGTATTAATTTCCTTAAATTCCAAAAAGGAGGAGGATTTGGGATTTTATTTTAACTTTGTATGGCGATCGAAAAATCTCGCTATCCACGTAGTAAATTATATAAGGCATGTACCGCCCACCCCACTTCGCGGTAATATATATATCCACCTACTACTACTAGGCCTAGACAGGCCTAAATTTCGGTACTTCTTCGGCCGAACACCTTAAGGTAGTACTTAAATCAGCTTAATTACGATGATAATTAAAAAAAAAAGGAAGAATTTTCAAGCAGCAATGATTTATAAAAAGATGCAATGTTGCTATTAAATTATATAAAATTTACAGAAAGCTACATGAAGACTAGTATCAGTGGTAGCTTAAATTATAATTAAAAATAAAAATTGAATCCTCAAATAAAAGCGAAAACTTGTCCAAGGAACCTGTGCTATGCAAACATGCACAATTGTGCTTTACAATTCAATTAATTGTGCAACTAAATAGTAAAGATTTTAAAGATAAAAATATATTTTTTAAAGATATAGGCCTAATTGTATTATAATATATTGATTGTTTTAATACATATTTTAAATCAAAACGTTTAAATGATTTACAATTAAATTACAAATCAAAATTTCAATGAATAGTAAATAATGAATAATATATAATAATAATAAATAATAATAATAATAAATAATAATAATAAATAATAATACAGTAATAATAATAATATTATAACTCACTAATATTATAAACAGAAGTGTGGAGAATGCTGTTATTTTACTTACAAGGCCTAGCTTCTTGATTATGAATGATTAGGCATATGTTGTACAAAAATTTCTCTCAATGCAATAATTCTTCAACTTTGATTTATTGTTTAGATTACAATTTACAAATAGGCCTAGGCCTAGGCCCTAGGCTATTTGTTGGTTTGAAGATGACCAGCATATTTTATTTCATAAATTAATGTTTACGAAGTCATAGGCCTAGATACAATTAGAAAACTTTCATGTTATTAATATTTTTACCATTCATTTACAGGCGAAATTAATATTATCGCCGACGATTCACAAACCTACTCTGTCTGCACAACCAACCTTTCTCCTCTGCAGTGTTGCCTCTTCTTAGGAGCCTCATTCTATATAGAGTAGGCTGCTAGCAACTAGGTATAGGCCTAGATGATAGACTTTTAAAACAAAAAGATAATCGTAACGAAAAAAAAAAAAAAAAAGAATCGTCCTCACTTTATCTTCTCGAAATAATACAGCACGTCACTGATTAATTAATTCCAAAGTTAGGTAAATATGATTATACAGTATATGATATTTACAATGATATGTTAAAATCCCATTATTGAATTGTCCTCATGAACAGAATAATGAAAGAAAGTTTATGCAGCATCAGTGTTTTATAAAATGTTATAAAGCTACGCGCGCACGCTGTTTGGTGACAACATGGCGCCCATGCGCCAAGTTGGCCAAACTCTCTCTATCTACGGCTCTGAGACCGGTGCACAAACAGCGCCGCTTGCGAACGGTCTGTGTCGACGACGGATTTGTGACATCACGTAACTAACGGTCATAAACGCGGTGAGCATGTGAACACCATGCATGCAACAGGGCTTAGCAATGGCATTGGGACAAGAGTCGTGACTGATTACAGTACTGTGATGAATGAATGAATGAGAAGTAGCCACGCCTCCTCTTGTTTGGCAACGACCACTAGAATTTACGCGGGCTTTCCTTTACTCTTTGAAGCTTTCTTCATGCACTCATAAATAGTTTCAGAAACAATTCGTTTTATAATCCAGTTGCCATTTTAGCACATTAGACACTTGAAAATATAAAAAGTCACTAGTTTCCAGTATTTGTAATACATAATAATGATTTATCTTATCCATGGTAATCAGATTTACCGGTCGCGTAGTAATATTGAAATGGCAATGACGTTAGTAATACGGTAATGAATATTCATATAATTGCTGAAAACATAAGGATTGTGTAGTGTACTGTATTCTTTGTGAATGCAACGGACGTATGGGTCTACGCTAGGTATTTCCACACTGATAAAAACATTTAGTAAATCATACATGCAATGGAGTTTCAAGAACCGCCAGTTGAAGACAATGAAGTCGTATTGGAAGTCGTCCCCTTGGCTATCGTAAGTTTCTTTACATATTTATATTGCTATTTGTGGCTAATATTAATATTGTTGGATCCACTTATCGTATCCACTGTCAGATGATTTAGCGCGGTATCATCATCAGTAATTTGAATTTCGCGCGTTATTTAGTACTAAATAGCAGGCCCGTAGGCAGGGGGTGCAGAGGGTGCGGACGCACTCCCCCCCCCCCGAAATTTCAATGCATTATATATTTGCCAGCTTATCTAACCGTTGATATTTAATAATGTGGTATGAAATTTGTTAGAAATTGATCGTCTCCTGTGATTGCAGGTTGATTTAATAATAATATGAAGAATGTTATCTATAGGCCTACAGATGTAGGGCCTACAGGACATAACGATACTTTTTTCAGGTTCCAAAAACACCCAAATTAATGAAATATTCATAAATTATGTGTTTGAGAAATCTTATGTAAGACCCTCAAAATGCTACTTTGTCGCTTTTTTCACAAACACCTCTGCCCCTGGACCACCAAATGAG